GGGGGGGGGGGGGGGGCTTGGAGTTCATCTAACCTCTCGGTAGGTCACCGGAAATACGAGGGGCAGGTCTACGGAATCATCCCTCTCAACCTCAATAGCCAAATCCCTTGGTAGCATTTTGCGACGAAAATATTGAAATACAGTTGCAATGTCACTAAATCCATTAACTGACAACAGTGACAACTCTGAACGATTTAACGAAACCCTGCTATTTTCAACGCAAAGAAAAATTGGATAGCGTTCAGCAAAAAGGAAACAGCGCAATTCCAGTGTTGTAAAAATATTGATTCTTCATAATTATTTAATAAATCTCCAGAACTAGCCAGTAGTTTTTGCTCCCCACCAAAAAATTTTTAAACATGAGGGAAAATAATTGTGTAAATTTTAATACTGTACTTAAATTCAGTATTTTTAAAAGAAAAGAAGAAGTGGCACCATTTTGAAAACCCCTGTAATTACGCTGGTTCCTTTTTGCTAAATGCGATCCAAGATCCAATTGATTCTTACTTCATCTTGATCGTAATTAACGAGGGGACCCTTCAAATAGTGGGTAGGCAACACAACATACGCAATACTCTGTACCCCCAAAATACTGCTAGCTCATGTCAAATAATTGAGGTCTGAGAGCACTAATAGAATCGTAGGTTACTTGTGAAGATATCAAACTCTCCACTTATTGTCTCTAATTTCAGCAAGATCCTGTATTTAGACACCTATTTTTACTGTTAGCTTCAATTACTAATCATAATTAGTATTTGAATGACCCCGCTATCAAGAGGCTTCATGAATCAAGATGTAAGTGTTCAGTTTAATTTAAAACTGGACCTGACAGTGGCAACCTCTGAATAGACTGATTAAAATGATATCATAAAATAATTTGAAGGGCACCCAATTACTGACATTTTTCTACAAAAACAACTTAAGTTTTTGTCATAGTGAAATCTTGATTGACTTTGGTGAGATTCATAGTGAAGAAAGAATTAAAATATAGTGAAATATGGTACATAGAAAATAATTTTGTTTATGTCTCAAAAAGAGACCATGGGAAATATGCCACAAGATCAATTTTTTATGGCTTTTTTTTTATTGAATGGTCCTTGGTAGGAGACATCTGACGCAAATGAAATCAAAATTTGAAAGAAGTTTATTGGCTGGCTTAATATTCAGGGTGTCTACAGATTCAGAGGAAAGAATTTTCCTGACTTTTCAAAGGGTTGGTTGGACGCAGAATCGAAAATGAAAGTTATGTCCCACATTTCTAGGCGATTGAGAGAACAGCACTGTTTTTCCAGATTTCAAGATTTTTTACAATTCCAAACTTCTACATAAAATTGCCTAACTTTTTTCTTGGTCTGGTGAAATTCCCTGTTTTGCAGACCAGAAGACCCCTTGTTGCAATCATATCTTGAGGAGTTCGTAAATAAATTTCTTAAAAGTTGGATATATTGCCATGAATGTTCAGCATAGAAGTACTAGTTTATTAAGTTTCAAGATTACTCGAAAAAAACGAGATCGCAGGGAAAGAAAGGAAAATAAGTTTGAAATGATAAGATGAGGGTTCAAGTTTAAAAATGTTTATTCTTAGAGTGAAATAGTTCCTTTTTCAGTATCAACTTACAAAAAATAAAAATTCAAAGTAGAAAAAGATAAACTTAAATTTGTTGATATACAAAAACAAGTTGTGGAAACTGTTACATACATCATACCAATACAGATTTCCTGAGATCAGTTAAAAAAAATCAATAAATAAAATCAATTAATAAATTAAACCTTATTCGACAAGTTCCGTCTGATGATTGAGACATTGATGTTGGGACCAAGCAATGAGAAAATTTCTCCATGACACAAAACAGGAGCGATTACAAAATCTCCCTTGGCGTTCATCAGCTATCACATGGAATTATCACAAATTAATAAACTTAAACAATATTACAAGGCCTTTAAATCCAAGAACGTTTACCATTGCTTGTTGTCAGTTCAAGAGATTTTAAAACTCACAAACTCGTACAAAAATTACTGATATAATAAACTGACTTGTTCAAATGCTTCAACTTGCACAAAAATGAAGGAAAATAAAAGGTCAAAAATGGGTATGTGCGTATTTTGCGATATGCTGAGACAGATGGTGTATTGAGAAGAGAAATTAAGGATTTGATTTATAAAAACTGTGAAGTACATAGAACCCAATTGGTCGGGATGAGAAGATTGTCTCAGTTTAGTAAAGATCTTCAAATCAAAAACAAGTCAAAAATTTCTCTTTAGAAAATGATTTATCTGCAGATAGTGAAAGCCTCAATCTATCTTCATATAAGCACACATTTCGGACGTTTTGACTTTGACAAGAAAAGAAAAAAGCATTTGGAGGCAAATCTGAAAGATTACACATTTCATGAGTATGTTTACAAGCAAATTATAAGAAGATGGCCGAGTAACTTATTTTGCTTCCTTTAGAATTGAGAAAAGTAATCTTTGGTTAACCATGAAGAGTAGTTTATTAACTTGGGATGGAGAACCCTGATTTAATATGAATCTCTTAAAAGCTTCTGACAAAGTTGGAAAAGTTAAATTTTAGCAGGATAACTAGAAAATCTACAGAAGCACTCTGGAGACGCTCAGGGACTCCACTTGGAAACATTATTTGTAATTTTACAGGCAAAGTAGGTAGAATGATATTTTTCGACGAGAAAACTTAAAAATACGTAAACGGGTTTATTAACGATTCGATTCGCACCCTTATGCGATTCAAGATGTACACACGTTATGATACAATGCAAAAACGAGAACAGATTGGTACGTTTGGTTGTCGGCGGTTGTTGGATCGACAATTTGCTGATTCTTTCGTAACAAGGAACATTCAAACGACCAAGTAACGAAACAATAAAAATTAACCGTTTTTCATCATCACTTTGAACAAAAAAAAAAAACAATGCGGGTAAAAAATTACAATCATACGGAAGGATATTTGAACTTGCCTTCCGCTTAACATAGATTTCGCAAACTTGGGATAAGCAACCCACACAATTATTGCTTCGTCAGGCATATTATTGATCTTTATGAGCCACTAATACAACAGGAACTTAAAAAATTAAATAGGGAAAGGGCATTTTGATGCTGTAGCAGCTACAACATACGAATTTTCATTAAAAATTGATTGATAGATTTCTGCTGAGATAAAGTGAAAATTGGGGCGTATACACAATAAAGGGCACAATTAGGGTTAGCCGGGAGGAACATTTAAACTTTAAGTAAGTTAAAGTTACAGAGAGGCTACACTAGAAGCTAGTATCTTTGGATTTAGTTGGGGGAAGAAAAAGCGAGGGCAGAAAGGGAACAGAGAGGTAGAAGACAAATTCTTAATGATAAGATAGTTGTGCTAGATTGAAGACTAAACGTAAAACATTCAACATACTTCGGCTGTAATACTGAAAGTAGGATGACCAAGTGTATTTTTACGAAGTCGAACATTCTGGACAACATTTCAAAAACTACATACAGAATAATAAAATCTGCACTCATGACATTTGAGGCTTTTAACTTTTAAAGGATATTAATCGGAGAAACTAATCCAATGGCTCTATTCTTTGTCAATTCATTTCCAGTCATCACCAATCAACCATGGATATTTGGAAGAGTGTGATACTAAAAATGAGATTGACAAGTACCACTTTTAGGCAGAAAAAATTTTGCTGACTAAAGGTTATGGCAGCGCCAAGACTAAACATTAATTTGTTTCATACATTTTTAAAAATTTACTTGGCAATTGGCGACTTATGAAGAGACGTAATAAAGTCTGACAATGCACCAGATAATTAGAAAAATTGATAGTTACATTAAGACAGCATACTACAGAGAGGTATTAATGACTTAGCCACTAATTTAAGACTTTACTTTCACGAGAGGTACACCTCTCTTCCACCAACGTCAATCACAATGGTTGCCTTTCGCCATAACAATCAAGAGCATAATTTAAGTATGACTTCGCAACATTCACGGGATTCAGCATGAAACTACAACTTAGATCACATTTAAAAATTCTTAAAGTAAATAAATATATATTTTTTTCTTTTATACACGTATTAGATCACATGGAAAAAAACAAAAATAAATTAACTTCTCCGCATAAAAACTAAACACTAGCTTTAGTTGAAAGACACACGTAACTCTTCACTAGGTAAAGAGTAAGATAGAGTTCATGAGTTCAGCATCATGAACAGATTAACTTTCAGAGCCAGACACACTTTGTTTTCTACAAAGGATAATCAAAGTTTCTATCACCGGTCGAAAAAATTAAGTTAAAATTAATTTTGAAGATTTTCGTATTTTTGGGGATTTTCGAGAGAGATTTTTAAGAGAGATTTTTAAGAGAGACTGTACTGAGAATCCAATCCGGTTTTGAAAAGTAGAAAACTTTCTGCTACGTTGTTTTGTAGAAGTATGATCGGCATGGGTGTTTAGATTACAATGATAAAATTCTGCGAAAAATTTGATTCTTTTGATTATAGGCAAGGACCAGAACTTATTAATGTAATGGACGAGACAAAAACAATAAACAAAAGAGAGAAAAAATTAAAAATTACTTCTTTCGTAAATTCAATACTATAACATTCAATAAAGTGCTCGAGATTAGCATTCGTTATAAATTTATAAATCAACTTTAAAACCTCTGTACATCTAACCATAAAATATACTCTCTATGAAACATTGTATAAATTTACCGAAGGTTGTTTACACACATACATACAGCTGAAATGATTAGATACGGGGTCATACTACTTTCGCACATCTGGGGAGGGGGGGAGGGGATTTCAATATTATTGAAGCTGAAAATTAAGAGGCTAAGGGACATTTTGGGACTTCTCACGTAAAAAATCTAACAACACAGCTTTTGTTTGAATTGAAATAGACTCATATATCTTTAGGAAATGACAGTACTTCAAGTTTGGGTCAGAAATGAAAATCTGATTTGCACAAAAATTAAAGTCCGGGACTGACATAGTGAAAGAATGATTATCACTTGTAAAAGCTTTAAATATTGAAGATAGTGACCAACTGCAAGCTTTGGTAGCCAAATTACACATATAAACGGATATTATAAATCTCTGTGGGGTTCCTGATAAAATTCTCTGTATTTACACATATGTATGTACATAAACCGATAGAGTTTCTGATCATAAATAATAAATCACACGATACCTATTGAAATCTATGAAAATTCAGAAATTATTATAAAGGATAGACAGTTAGAAAGATACATATAATTTAATAGAGATATATTCATAAGAAATAAATAATTTAAAGCATCAGTAGCAGAGAATCAAACAAAGGGGAGAGCATAAACGAACGGGACAGAAATAAAACAGTTTCGACTTATCGAAGAAACAGTTCTGCATACAGAATTTTGCTGATAAGTAACGTATTTGCTCGTACCCAAGAAAGCTGAGATGTTGGATCAGTTTTAAAGGTAGCACTCTCAGTTCATTCCAGTTCTATCAATAATCAGGTTACTCCATGAAGAACTAACCTTGAGAGATTTGTGAGATCAAAGAAACTGAAATGGACCTCTGATTGTGCGTGCAAAAAATAAGAGACAACCTCTGATTGTGAGTGGGGCAAATAAAAGACATACAGATTCCAAAATGGAAATTCTGCGTCAATTGGCTCGTTTAAATCGGCCGTTTGTGAATTTTTTGACAAATGGTCGAGACCAAAATATAAAGTTATTGATGGGTAAAAAATAGGGGATTTGGACAAAAATTTCAAATTTTCTTAGATTCTGATAAAAGGGCGATGGAGGATTCAGGGGATGTGTAGAATATAAAGGTTCCTTTGAAGTGCCCTTCGAAAAAATGTGGAAAAGCTAACCTTCTCTGCTACTGATTCTATCAACAGGATCATAAAATCTGACAAGACTTAAAGAATAAATTAACATCACAAAATAATAAAACGTGGATACAGCCGAACGAATAAACTCTGACAACTACAACTAATATATTAATTTCAAATGACTCAAGACAACCTCTGAAAACTCGATGCATTCAGGAGGTAAATAGACGGATTGCAACAGAGCATTGCGTTTGAAAAGGGGGGGGGGGATTGGTTGCATTGTAGACTGATGAGTACTGATCAGGAGATTTTCCATGAGCATATGCTCTGAAGTCACAGTAAAGCATTTCAGAGCTAATTTAGACTGCTCATAAGAGAAAATTCATTCTTATCACAGCAATACTTGAAGTTACCTTTTAGATAGGTATTCTTTTTGGCAGAAATCTTTATAACTTGCAGAAAATTACAGGAGAAAACTGCCTAATTTGAAAAATCAAAAATTGATGAGGAATAGTGTGAAAATCCTTGAGAAGTTTGATGGGGAGAACTGCATGAAATGATCTCTTGTGTTTTAGGGCTGATACAATTACGAAATAAGACGATAGTGTACGGTAATCGGAAACTTAAAACGGAGTGATTAACGTTACCCATTCAGAAGGTATCGGGCAAGCTTGGGACTTTCTTTCGATGGGAAATTGGAAACAGTCTTGGTTCTCTAGCCTGAGTCAAGGTTCGAGAACCTCGACCTAGTCCTGGAATGAGCGGTAGAGTTTTTTCCGTTGCAGAGAGAAACTTCCGCTTATCACAATTGTTCCACCTTTGGTAAAGTTTCTGAAAACAGAGGAGACGACTGATTAGTCACTGCACTAACTCAAATTAATGATGATGGAATCACTTCACTTAGGATGTTGATATAAAAATGAAAGACACAGATTGGAAACTGTATGAGATACCGATCCAAAGAATGATACTTTATACAAAAAAGGGGAGCGAGAAAGTAGAAATCTGAAATATTAGGAGGAAAGGTGATCTTATTGGTTGAAGATTGAACAATATTAGTCAGGCTTACATGGCAGAGAATTGGAATGAGTCAAACTAACTTTTGCCAATCATTGCCGGAGCTTCCAAGCTGCTCTGGGTCACCGCGAGATAAATGAAATAATGTTGCGGGTTTGGACAGGGAAAATCCCTCCCTGGACGAATGCTTCTACTGAGGAGGATTTTTTTGAGTACTTGAACAATTAAAGGCAGAAAATCAAAGAGGGTGGGACGATTGAATTTACCATTTAAATAGGTATCATGAGTCTTCAAACTAATTGCCTGTGGTCAATGAAAATTGAGTAATTGACAAAGGGACCATATAAATTCTCTCTGCATCAAGAAGGGGAAGGTTTGAACTAAAATGCTTGCCAGTTCTAAGATGCTTGGGTAAGTTCAAGGCGTTTTAAAAGTTCAAAGACTGAAAAATAAATATAAGCTCAGATTAAACTAAAAATGAACTTACTTGATAAATTGTGGCAACATAGATTTCCAAGATGCTTTCAGGTCTTGCCTAAGAGTTAAATGAATTTCAAATGTTGACACGGTTGAGGGGTCGCACTTTAAAGTTCCTATCCTTCGGCACTGATTATCAGATTCGTAGTTGATGAAGATTGTGCATCCCCTGAAAACAAAGAAAACACTTAGGTCAGAGATCAATGAAAGAATTCAGTATGAAAGGAGGAAAATATTTTTGAGTGGAGTAATGGATGATACTTGGTCACATTTGGATGATAAGTACCTGGAATGAAAATATGTGCAAGAAGTGTTTGTGAAGGCATTGTGGGCACATAATCACCACAAGTTAAAAGGACACACATTCCTTTGAATCTTGTGTACAAATCTTGAAGTTGAACAGGGTTGCCATAGAATTTAGAAAATGAGATTCCCTGGTTTTTCTTTCATTGTAGTAAAATGCCCTGTGCCAGATGCATAAGAAGACATAATATGCAATAGTTTTTATGCAAAATAAGTCGTTCTAAGCTTCAAACCCATTGTAGGGAGCAAATTAAGGTGACTATAACATTTTTCCCAGACAGTGGCACACGTTCATTCATTTATAAGGTCAGAGAAGAAAAAGAAAAGCAATCAGAACTTGAAGGGTAGGTGAAACGGGAGTGATGATTCTTACCTAAGTCCGCAAGGCTCAGTTTCTGCCATTTTTAAAATGTCCAGAGCTATCCTAGGTAGCAGGTCTGCTGGTAAAAGCACTTCACCACATGACAGCTGCTCAGATTTGGCTGCCCTAAGTTCGGCTTCTAGCCTTTCCGTTAGAACACGGCAAGTGCTTAAATGTTCGGTTTCGTCAAACACAAATCCTGCAAAAAGACAGACATAATGGTTCACTACAAAGACTGCTAAACAAGGTACAACAGTAAAATGATTAGGGTTTAGAACAGGAAGTTAAACCCAACACTATCTGAATCTGCGGGAATTTTTCACAACCTTCTTTCCGGGAGAGGAAATAACATCGGAAACATCTCATAACTGAAATCAAATCCAAATTTCAATCCAACCCTCTTTTCCATAGCAATGGAACCATTGGAAAAACAGCACAAATGAATTAGGAAATTCATACACCTGCACTAAGTAACTAGGTTGTTTCCAGAATTGCAAAAACATTTATTTGGGAATATGAGCAATTTGCTTATCTATATTTTTACGTTCCAGAGGACACACATGAGTATGTGCTTGCATCAGCTGCTGGCCAGTCACCTGAATATGCATATGATAGCTGATTTACTTTGTAAGACTACCGACAAACCAGGCAAAACTTAGCTATCTCGGCAATGACATTGCGACCTGAGAAATACAGATCAACTACTTACTTAAGCACAGGGACTTAGTTTTTGCTAACCTTGGATCAGTATCACTCAGTATTATTATTTTAAAATTAGGTGAGGATTAAGATGAATGATATTGGGAGCGAAAAAAAAATTAGGAACTGCTTTCAATCCTATCTCGCAAATTTAGAGATGATGGAATAAGTAACTCCTTAAAATGTACAGAAAAAAATTAAACTTAACGCATCTAACTTGGTTCATAGAAATTAATTAGATTTTGGAAGAATAAATTGGAGAGCGTAATTTAGAGGAGGTCCCGGATGCAGCACGATTCGAAAATGCGTTTCTGCAGAAAAAGTTCCGAAACACTTAAAAAATCCGGCAAGAGAAGATAACTAGGTAAGGAAACACTTAGAAATAGGAATTGGCCGGTGACGGTGAAAGCTTGGAGGCCGAGATCAGCTGATGCAATGACAGTCGGACGAGGGGGAACATCGATCGGCCGTTTCAACTGCCGTAGGCAGTCGTCCACGATCGGCTGATCGCAGTGAAATAAAACACCGAATTTGTCTTCACGTCAATTTTCGAGATAAATGCAATAAAAGACTGAGTAGCATAGGAGATGTCCCGTAGAGAAATTACAAAGTTTCTAGAAAGCGAAGACCTAATTCGTACAGCTGGAGCGCTTCCGCTAAGAGCCGGACAAAAAGAAAGATGGGAAGATTTTTGAGTAAAAATAGTAGAACGAAGAAAAGGAAGAGTCTTGTGGGAAAATCGCGGAGGAAAATCGAACGTACCTTTGCGTTTGACGGCGAACTTGGAGACACTTTCAGTTCTGTGGAGAACTTCCATTGTGAGCGGAACAAAGGAAATTTTGACCGAATTTGAAAAACCTAAATATCACGAAGTCGCGACCGACTAAGAGCCGCGGAGAAGAGCGAGGTAGAAATTTGCGGAACAGCTAAAACGATCCGAAGAACCGAAAAACACTGCTCTCGACTTGGGATGGAGAAAATCTTTCTTTGTTAACTAGAACTATGACTGCGATATGCACTTCATTTCTGCTTGGTGGACAAAGAACAACTGAAAATCGCTACGCTTGCCTATCTCCTCCGCACGGCGTTTATCCCCACTCCTGCGCGACCAGCTGACTCTGTACAGATTTAGCAGTTCTCCCTTGTTCTGCTTCTCCCTTCCCTTCTCTCGCTTCTCTCTCTCCTCTCTTCGGAGAGCGAACGTGACACGGCTCTCGTCCGAAGTGGCAGCACGATTCCCCCTCCAACCCCCCGTCCCTCGCAACTACAGCTGAATGGGGTGAGCCCCAAGGGGTGAGAAGCACAAGTGAGAGAGAGAGGTACAGCTAGTAATAACCGAGAGGAAATAATAATAGCTGGTTGCGGCAAGGAGGCGGAGGGGTCAGTGAAGGGAAAGGGGGGTTCCTCCAGGCCTACACGCAACATCCAATAATAATTACCCGGTAAAACAAATTCACTACCACAGTAAAGCGAACGGTCCGGACTCGTGAGCCAATGATAGAAAAAGTCGACCGTTGCAAACTGTAGCGAGAAGCTATCGGAAAGGTCAGCTGTGTATGTGCCCGAGAATCTGTCGTAGGTACTTACAATAATTACAGGTAGAGAACTATTCCTTGTCTCAGGAAAGCACATACATGATGAGATCTTACTTGCCAGTGGGCTCATTATGGCAACTGATGGACAAAGCTACGGGCAAACAAGACAAAAGGGATATGAAGGGATCCTATTGGTTGAAGCGGGTGGTTGCAATGGACAAAGAAGGTAGATAACGACAAACCACCAGAGACCCTATAGTTAGTCCATCATTTTCTCCCTAAGTCTATAGGAACCGACCATCTAAACCAATTTCGCCATACTCCCAATATTTTCTTTGTCTATAGCTTATAGTGTCAATTTCAACAATCAGTTTGATGGTTGAAAGGTTGGTCTTTATAGACTAAGGGGGGAAATGATATACTGACTGTAGGGCATCTTGTGGGTTGCCGGTAGTTAGTCTACTACTTACCTCTTTTGTCCATTGCATCCACCCGCTTCCACCATTAGGATCACTCCATTTTCTCTTTGTCCTCTTTATTCAACGCTTTATCTATCAATACGTTTAATTAATCAGACTGCAGTGGAGCAAATAGCATGTGGTGTCAGTACAGAACCGTGATCTAATGTGGACATCTTACCGATTGAATTGAAATGACATAGATGAAATATTCATCAGGATAAATCCATTAGGCGTCCCATGCAAACGAAAATAAAGTTGTCAAAAAATATGAGGACGTCGCAAGCTATCAGAAATCGCCGCAAATTTGAAAGCAACATGCCCGTCACCTTGTAAAATTGCAATAGACGCATCAACGTAGTAAAGGATTCATTGGTGAAACATTTCAAGAGCGCGACCACGACTAGTAACGCCTTCAAATGATGGCGATACTCCCCGCTTTGTCAAGGAGTTAGTTTAGTTGCGTGACCTAACTTAACCCAACTGAGGTCGCTGGCTTCACTTCACTGCACACACTCGGCAGTGTGTTAGTTGATACCACGCATCCCAGAGGAAAAAAACGTCTATTTGGATTCCGAGCTTAATAATCAGTACTTTCCATCTTGTTCCTTTAGTTTTGAAGTGTTAAACTTTTTTATTAAACGTAAATAGATTGCAATTTGCCGGTGATTGCCAATTGCGTGTGACATGAACGCACGTCTAAGACTTGCGACCCTGAGTGAGAATCGAGGGTCTTGAAAGAGAGGGCGCATGAGTGCAGTTCTTGCTATTTCGAGAAATACGTGTTTGAAGTTTCGAGATTACACGGATCCTTGTGGCGGAAAGAAAGTTCAACTGACTTTGAGATGCTTAAAAACCGGAATTTACAACTAGTTTCACATGAAATCATTGTTACCTAATTTTTTTCAAAAGCTGCGAGTATGCCCTTGTCTTCCAAGCCCTTCACTTGAAAAAAAAAAAATGCATGAAATTTCACGAGATTTTATTCCATGAACTTTCTTGAAGTTTTGCATCTCTACCCACGAAATCAGCGTGGCGCTGCAGGTAATTCAAGCGAGAGGGAGATCAGATCAGAAAACTCCAGAATTTTTCACAGAGTGTGCACTAAGACTAGTTATACTTGAAATCAATAATATCCTAACTTTTTCGACAACTGCACTTAAGCGCCTAGTCCTCCCAGCCCCTCAATTGTGGTAAAGTTACTTGGAACTTGAAGAGACCCCGGGTCTTAAAATTATTCTCTCTTCGTCAGGGAGCACGGTTTGGGGGGAATTCGATTCGATGATAAATCTCGTCCGAGATGCGAGCCAGGAGAGACTGACCGATTTTACGAGCAACATGCGAGGAGCGAGAAGGCCTCCGATTGGCCCGATGTTCGCACTTGGGCAGTAAACGACAACCGACTCTCGAGCGAGCCTGCAGTCGCCATGATCTATCCTTTAAACAACTTTGATCGATATATCACATCGTTATAATAGCGCTTCATCCATCTCAACACTCGACCAGTGGCGCGGCACGCTTTGCGATGTATCGATTGATATGCCATTCAATTCTATGGAAAAATATCGATAATCAGGGCGTTCGCAATGAACACCATAGTAATCGATTCTTCACCACAGGATTTTGATCCGCCGTTCTATCACGAAACTGCAGAACTTTTTCGACGATTCGTAATAAATTGTGAACTTCGATTCTGCTTGATTCCCCTTAAAAAATCATATCTTCAGACTGACTGTTGAAATTGATAGACAAAGCTATAGACGAAGAGAACAAAGGAAAAACGGAGCAGTCCTCTTGGTGGAAGCGGGTGGTTGCAATGGACAAAGGAGGTAAGTAATGGATTAAATAACGGCAACCTACGAGGGGCCCTGTAGTTTACCCATCATTTTCCCCCGCAGTCGACACAAACCGCAGTTTCAAACAATAGGATCGTTTCATTTTCCTTTGTCTCTTTTGACTATTGCTTTGTCTATCAAACCCGATGATCAGTCTGCTGGATGAGTTACATGTTTCTGCAGTTTTGAGTTTGATCAGGTTTGGCGAAGAGGAGCAAAGTTTGCATGGTGCTTGGAAATTTTTTGGCAGAAAGAAAAAAGGCAAACAGGGCACTTTCTTTGCAACCTCCGAACAAAACTTCCACTCAGATTTCGTTTTCTAACTCTCATTTCTGCTTAAAGCTGCTAGCGAAATTCCCAGACCTCCCCTGGGAAGTCCCGGACTTTCCCTGACATTTCCGTCAATTCCCTGACTTTCCTAGGTTTTCCAGACTACCTGCAACCCTGAGGAAGGAAAAAATCAAGGGAGATAATGCCTCAGCGAAATGAAAACCATCTTATACTCCTCGTCACAATCGAGCGGCCACCTCACAAGTTTAAGCTCGACTTTCAGGCGGAAAAAACAGATTTCTATACAGGTAAATTTTGAAACGCTGCATGCGGGACGGGGGCGTCGGAGACCCTGAGAGGGACCCGTAACCAATGGAGTCCCTTTATGCTGAGAGTCAAGACAACGTGAATCCATTTCTGTTTGGTTCCCGTATTTTTGGCCTTCACAGTGTCACAAACGGGAATAAATATTACATTTTCACCGACTGCAAAGATTATAATCTGGAATGGACCGGGGAATTACGGGTTCGGCAAGGAACAAACGGAATGAGAGAAGGAACGGAGAAAGAAATTTGAGAATGGGCCGATCAAAGATTACAAAAACGTTTAATTTCTGGAATCTTTATTCCCGTTTGTGACTCCATGAGGGGGTGTTGTCTTGACTCTCAGTATAAAGGGACTCTAGAGACCCCGAGAGGGATTCCGGATTCGTAACCAATCCACACTTGGAAACGTTGCGGGACGCAACCACGGCAGCGCAAGCTCGGCAACTTTTCGGATGAGGCTGGCAAAGATGGGAACAGGGTTGCCAAGCCTCGGGACTCGACGCCGGATCACAAGGGAAATGCGGGGTTTCCTCCGTCGAGCCGGCAACGCTGTCCCCGAAGGTAAACCCAGAAGCCGAGCGCGAGGGGGGGAGGGTGGCGGAGCAAAACACAACTAGTCAGGACTCAGGAGAGCCTCCAACAGGAGAGGCGAGGAGGCCTCGCGGATCGAGGGCGGGAGAGAGAAAGAGAAACGCGGAAAAAGAGGGGGAGGGGAGAGCGACAGAGAGGGAGGATGGCCAGGGACGCTTGTTCAGTTTACCCAACAGCAACAGCGGTGTCACGATGGGCACCAAAGCTCCAAGTTCGGATGCCGTCTTGACGCTTCTATGATCCGCGAGACAAAGGCACGTACTGCCGTGCTAAGGAAGAACGCCGTATGAACATTCGGATTGCATTTTGCAAAAAGGAACCACTAGCATTGCAATGTTGCTAAGATTGTGCAATTTATTTTATGTCTTGGAGGAAAAACCCGATTATCCAATAATAGTTTCTATTTTACTCGCTAAAAACTGTAAATTTAAGACAAAAATTACCATCTAAACATAATTTTTCACGAGTTCCGCAATTTTATTGCAAGAGATGAAGTTGCACAATCTTAGCATCATTGCAATGCTAGTGGTTCCTTTTTGCCAAATGCAATCCATTCGACAGTTGCCAAATTCCATTCGATAAAATGTTCATTTGTGAGCGGAGTTATGGATATTTTTCCTAGTGATTCTCAGTAACTTTTGGTGAAATTGCAAAAAACATAATCTGAAAAATTGGAGGAAAAATATTCGTAAGTGTGCCAGGAAATTCGTGTTTAATGAATGGAAATTTGGCAACAACTGAAGGTTCATATACGGCGTTTTTCCTTACCGGGGCAGCATAATGTGACGTAACGTGCTGGGGTAAAACGCCGTAAGAGCCATCAGACGTGCCATATTTCCTCCAATGAAACCTCGACTCACTGGGAAAATTCTGAATATTTTTCTTCGAATTTTTCAGGCATTTTGCTCACAGTTCAATCTAAAACATCTGAAATTTTAAGGTGAAGTACGCCTTCCTTTCCGCAAAAAGAAACATTTTATAGGAGGAAATTTTGCAGCTGTCGAATGTTCATACGGCGTCCTTCCTAAGCACGACAGCATACGCTAAGGACCTTTGT